GGTAAGTCACATAAGACTGGCTTAGAGATTTCAAAAAATTGAGACCATCCCCAATGTTCTCACCTATGTATCTACGTAGCCCTAAAGCTAGCCCTCATCTATCTAGGTATCTAGCGATCACTAGCTAGCTAGCTAGCTATCTTCCTCCTACTTTTGGATAATGACTTGAGCTCTTGGCTGTTTCTGCTACTGTAGTTTTATTTAACCATCACAGGCTCTAGCCCTCTAAATCCATATAAGCCCAAATAAATGTTTGCTGTAATAGATTGCCTTGGTCATGGTATTTTGTCATAGTAATATAAACCCTAACTGATACACTTCCACTATAGGCCAAATAATGGCTTCTCAAATATATCCACAAGCCTAATGTTGCTTTTTCTGGTATAATGGAATTAATGGTATGATTAAATAATGAGTCTTTGGACTCTGTGTAATCCACATGAATCTCATATTAGTACAGCCTCTTATAAGTAAAGAGGGGACAGCCAGACGAGATCAGTTCCCTAGCTCAGGCTACAGTGATGCTATGTTTATGGTCAAAAGCCAAGGACTATGAAAAGCACTAAACATTATTCAGACTTCTCCTAGGAAGACATGAAAAACATGTCTACTGACCCCAGATAAAGTACTTACTAATGAAAAAAGAAATGATGAGCTGAGTCTAGGCTGGTAAACAAGTGGGTTTACTGAACTTGCTTGCCAGAGTATGGGCAAGTGGTCACTTGCCGAAGCATCAGTGACTCAGAGGTGGTTGCACCACCATAAAGCCCACACCAGTATGAGTGATGACCCACGGAAGCTGCATCCTTGTGGCAGCAGATCCAACTGCAAGCTGCTCCACCAGAGGGGATGCAAGATTATTTGTGTTGTTCAAAAGCCAGTCTATTTGTAGTATTTTGCTACAGGGACGAGGCAAACTCCCTGGAATCCTTTTCTTAAGAAAGGATTATCAGGGCTAGAATGATGGCTCAGGTTAAGAACACTGGCTGCTCTTCCAGTGGTCCTGAGTTCAATTCCCAGCATTCAAAACCATCTATAATATCTGGTGCGCTCCTCTGGCATGCAGCCATACATGCAGGCAGAATGCTGTATACATAATAAATAAATCTCTTAAAAAAGTAAAAGATTATCGGTACTATTTTTTTTAATGTGATAAGTTTCATAAAAGCATTTACTTCCATGAAAGAATAGCAGAATAAAAGGTATAACACACATTGTGTGTATTTATTATATAACACGTATGTTGTATAACAGATTATGGAAGTTTCTTTCCCTGGTGCCTATTAAAAGTACTGTGGGGGGATTGTTTTACTAGGTTATACCGAGGCATTCACAGCAAGTGAGATGTGTATGGTAGAGCTGACTAGCTCTTGCAAGTTTCATTGGCAAGGAATTAGCGGCTCTGTTTCATGGTAAAGAACATGGATGAGAAGCCAAGATTAAGCTCCTGTGGGACAAATCCATGAAAGGACAGGAATGTCTGCAATCCAGGTTTCGAACAAAGAGTATCTCTCCTGAGTGCTGTGTGAATGACTTGCCACATGTTCTGACGCTTTCCTCCAGGTTCCTGAATTAGTCAGCTTGCTGTGACAGCAATAAGCAATCCCAAAGTCTCAATGAGTAAGAAATTTCCACTTCTTGCTTGTGACTAATCGACATGGTGCTAGCCACGGCTTTGCTAAGCACAACTGCATTCCTGCTAGTCTTGAACTGAGATCTGTACCATGTGCATCTTTATGCTGAGCCCCATGCTGAAAACGTACTAAGCTTGTTCCTGGGAAATGATGAGTGAGGTGGCCACGGGCTTCTGGAAACCTACACTTCCATTCACACTACTTCAGGTTATAGCAAATCACAGGTGAACTCAGTGTGGAAGAAAAAGGTCAGGAGAGAGAGCAAGTATTTGCTGAACCGCATACAACTTTTATTTTCAAAACTTGAAACTGGAGAAAGAACAAACCTAGTACTGTGTGTGAATTTTAGAGAGGGCAGAGAGGTGAGTTTTGCTTTAAACCTGCAGAGAACTTAAAATGATGAGTTCTGTAAATAAGAAAAGCAGCAAAGGAAGAAAATGGGTTATAAGTTCATTTCGACTCAAGAGAGAAAGAAGCCAATATTTTTATGAGGAGTATCAAACTGGCAAGCCTTGCAGGTAATTTCATTCTTATTTACTTTCATATGTCTTTAAATGGGACAAGAACTTGAGAAAAGTTAAGGTTTTTTTTCTTCTGAGGCTCCTATATTTTGTATCTCAAGATGTTAATTCTGAATTGTGAGCTGAAAAGGACACTCTGAACAGATTATGCTGGTAAAACGAATGGCTAACAATACAAATGACGACAACCTACCTTCAAGTTGTGTGTCTCAACAAACTGAAGTGTTTTAGTTTGCATTTCTCTAAATGCAATGTAACAACATGACCAAAAAGCAAATAGAGGAGGAAAAGGGTTTATTTGGCTTACACTTTCATATCCCTGTTCATCATCAAAGAAGTCATGACAAGAACCTGGTGGCAGGAAGTATTGCACAGGTCATGAAAGAGTGCTGCTAACTAGCTTGCTTAGTTCACAAATATAGATGTCTCAGCTGGTCTCCAGAATACACTAGAATCCTAAAGAAGTAGGCTCTAATATCAATGAAGGAACAGGTGTGCTATCTGGGTGAAGGTAAGGAGGCAAAGAATAAAATCTTCCTTCTTTCATTCCCTTATATAGGCTTATAGCAGAAGATGTGGTCCATATTAAAAGTGAGTCTTTTCCCAGTTTGAAGATCTGAATGAAAGGCATGACTTCTTAACTCAGAGATCCAAATTAGATGTGGATCTTCCTATATAAAATCAAGCAAAATATCCCTTATCCCTTACATATTTTGGCTTCACTTTTGAGTTTTAGGTCAGATGTAGTTAACAGCCAAGAATACCCATCAGAGGGGGGATTATTTTATGTGTAGAGTTAAGACAACCTGGTACATAATGTGTAGAGATGTTTCGGTGAGGTAAACAAACAAACAAACAAACAAGAAGCAATACCAGTAGCTTGTGTGACTGAGCTGGACAGAGCCACCACTAGTACACAGAATACCTTTAAAAAAATCATAAAAATGGGACTTTTCTTTTCTTCACAGACGTGAGTCAAGGATTATATTTTGTCCAGCTCTAACTGATCCCTCCAATAAACGGCTCTGAATGTGCATTAATTGTGCATGCACTGGTAAGGGAGGGAAGAAGGAGAATTGGTTTAGGAAGTATATTCTGGAATCTGTGCTATATATGTGGGAGTGGGAAAGCAGTCTATTCATATTGTCTCTAATTATGGTTTCATTAAGTAGTCATTTTTAAGCTTTGAAAGGGACACTGTCCCAGTTAGATATTACCAGTCACATCAAAATACCAAAAATTTGCTCAATATTTAACAGTGGTCTAAGAATTTAAACACCTAAAGGATTCATAAAATGTTCAGAGAAGTGTTAAAACAATGGAGAAGCTGAGCAGATAATTAAAATCAGCCTGGGTATCTTAGCATCCTACCTACATGTATGCATTCCCCAGAAGCAAAAAAATCAATGATTCTTTTTCACAAAAGAATCAAAAACACATGATTATTTTTCTATCATATATAATTATTATGTCCCATGTTGAAATTCCATATCAGGATCTAACTCAAATCTCTTCTTCCCCACTAAGGATAACCTAACATCAAGGTCCACTCATGACTCCTCCATGCTGTCCCCTCTATCATGAATTAATCTTTATAATTGAGGAAGTTTGGGCTGCAAGAGCCAGAGAAACTCTCCTTCAAAGTTCAGTCTGAATTTTCCTTTCAGCTTCTATTAGCTGCTGTGCCATTCTAGCGTTTGTTGAGGGGTTTATCACTCTTTCTTCTTTCAATGCCGGAGGCACAGCATACAGCATAATACACAATTGGTAAAGACTAGAACATACTGATTCATTGAACATAAAGAATACCAGTAACCTGCTTTTTGCTTTTCTCACAGCCTATAGTAGAGAATGGGGTTCTCAGTCTCAGCAGTATTGTTGCTTTGGATTAGTTTAGTGTTTGTCAGAACACTGTGTTATGTGTTGGCTATTTAGCATAATTTTCCTCTGGTCTTGACATCCAAGAACATCTCCCAACATTGATTAATATCTTCTGGACAGGGGCTAGGTTGGAGGAGGGCCAAGAAATGCTTTCAGTTAGGAAGCACAGAGTGAAACCACACTGGAAATTAAATATCAATGGCCTTAATGCCAAGATCTGTCAGGTGGTTTTTCTCCCTTCTGGTGTCTCAATGTCACTTGGAGAGAAGTATTGAATTAGTGATCTAAGTGCAAATATTAAACTCTTCTTTTGAGTGTAGCCTTACTCTCACATTCTGCTTCACTGTAGGCCCAGAAACAGTGGAACCAATTAGGATGACTGAACACTTTGACCCAGAGGTTTGGGGAAGAAGAATAAGCTCTTTCCCCTTTCAGTTGTTTCTATGGGGTATCTTGTCACAGCAAGCAAAAACAGAGTAGTATAGTCACCTGTTAGCAGAACAATTTCTCTATGCACACTATTTTTCTATTTTCTATACAGTGGATGAAGTGGGGTTACAAAACATGATTAATACAAGGACAGAGAATATTTCTAGGACTTAATCCTTTATCTAATAAGTCTATATATACATATATACACAGAGAGGTATGTGTGTGTGTGTAATTTATAGACCTAAATATCTGTATTTTTGAAAATGAATGCCAAAATTGGTTTTGTACATGCAAGTAAATTCTGTTTCACAATCATTCCTTAATTTTTTAATTTTATGTCATGTCTTTATTACATTAATTGCCAACAGTATTTATCCAAAGTATATATCTAATAAACTTAACATTTTGTGGTATTTTATGTCTACCAAACCTTTTGTATAAATGCAAAACTTTTGCCGCTTATAACAATTCAAGAGACCATAGACCATAGAATTTCACCATACAATTTTTAATTTTTAGTACATGGGCTGTCAGAAAATGTTAATGAAGAAGATCTTCAAAATGATTTATGATTTCAAAACAGAGGAAAACTTTGATTCTATAGTTAATTAATGCTTTGAAAAGAAAAAGCTGTTTTCAGTCTAGAAACAAAATCTAAAATAACAAAACAAAAACCTGCTCAGTCAGTAAGCTGTTCACTCAGTCTTCTTCTTGTTCTCATTATTGGCAATTATCTCATGATACCTATCCAGAAGAGAATATACATAAATTGTGAAATTCATAAAAATTCAAGTCATATTATTAAATTTAACCGCTCTCCATCATTTCCCCTTACATTTTCCCCTCAAGTCTCCCTGTTAATAGGTACCATTTAATTTCATATGATCCCACTCACTGCCACCCCTGTCGCAAATATATTTTTAAAAGTCACTCATAATGCTCAGAGCCTTCCCAGCCTTTCTTTAAAATCTCCCACCTCCCATCACCATATCCCAGCATACAGCACCTGTGGATGTTCCTGTTCTACTAGAAGTCATATCAAATCCTAGAAACCCATAGGTCAGGCAGGCTGCCAAAACCCCAATAAAGGCCCCCTACTGGACCAGAGGACTCACGGGCCACCAGAAATATAGACCACTAAAGTCAGAAGACCAGAGAAGAAACAAAAACCAAGGTGAAAAAACCACCTATGTAACAAAGATGAACTCAGAAATCAGCACTGAAACCTACCTATAATTACCCCAAACCCAGATACCTAGAGTCAAGCATAAGAACACAGTGAAAACCTTCCAGGAGAAAATGGTATCATCAGAGTCCAGCTATCCTACTACAGCAAGCCCTGAATATTCCAACATAGCAGAAGTACAAGAAGAATTAAATCCAATATCAAGAAGATGATAGACGTCCTTAAAGAGGAAATGAATAAATCCCTTAAAGAAAGCCAAGAAAAAAACAAGCAAACAGGTGAAGTAATTAAAAGTAAAACTGTTAAAGACTTGAAAATGGAAATGAAATCATTAAAGAAAACACAAACTGAGGGAATCCTGGAAATAGAAAAATCTAGGTAAACAAATCAGAACTACATATGCAAGCATCACCAAAAGAATATAAGAGATGGAAGAGAGAGTCTTTTGGGTATAGAACATATGATAGAAGAAATGAATACAACAGTCAAAGAAAAATGTTAAATCTAAAACAGTTTCTGACACCAAACATCAAATAAATCTGGGACACTATGAAAATAATAAACCTAAAAATAATAGGACTAGAAAAGGAAGAAGAGAAGGAAGAGGAGGAGGAAGAGGAGGAGGAAGAAGAGGAGGAGGAGGAGAAAGAGGAGAAGAAGAAAAGGACAAGGAGAAAGAGAAGGAAAGGAAGAGGAGGAGGAAGAGGAAGAAGAGGAAAAGAAAAAGAAGAGTCATCCCTGCTCAAAGGTTCAGAATATATTTTCAACAAAATTGTATCAGAAAATGTTCCTAAGCTAAAGCAGTGCGTGCCTACAAAGGTACAAGAAGCCTACAGAACACCAAATCAATTGGATCAGAAAAGAAAGTCCCCCTTCCACATAAAAATCAAACACTAAATATACAGAACAAAGAAAGAATATTAAAAAATAAAAAAGAAAATGGCCAAGTGGCATATAAAGGTAGACCTATTAGAATTACACCTAATTTCTCAACAGAAACTCTAAAAGCTAGACAGATATTCCATAGACTCTAAGAGACCAAAGATACCAGCACAGACTACTATAACCAGGAAAACTTTCAGCCACAATAGATTCAAAAAGTAGCTATTTTATGAGTCAAGTTTAAACAAAATCTATCCACAAACCCAGCCCTACAGAAGATACTAAAAGGAAAACTCCAACCCAAAGAAGTTAACAATACCTATGAAAACACAGAATAAACTCAGATCAGCAAAATCAAAAGAAAGGAAGTATAGAAACACACACAAGATACACAGAGACAGACAGATACACACATTTACACACACACACACAGACACACACTACCAGTAGCAACAACAAAATAGCAGGAATTATCAATCATTGGTATCTTTAAGTATCAATGGATTCAATTTCCCATAAAAAGACACAGACTAAAAGAATGGATGCAAAAACAGTATCCATCTTTCTACTACATACAAGAAACAAACCTCAAAGATAGACATTACCTCAGAGTAAAGAAGTGGGAAAAGATTTTTCAAGTAATGGGTATATGAAGGAGTCTGGTGTAGCCATTTTAATATCTAACAAAATAGACATCAAAGCAAAAGAGATAGAAAATGATACTTCATGGTCATCAAATGAAAGATTGAGATGACATTTCAATTCTTAACATCTATGCCTTAAACATATGGGCATCCATAGTGGGTGACTTTGGTATCTCATTCTTACAAATGCACAGGTCATCCAGACAAAAACTAAACAGAGACAATGAATATTATGAAACAAATAGACCTAACAGAATATTTCACTCAAACACAAAAGAATATGGCTTCTTCTCAGCACCTCACAGAACTTTCTCCAAAATTGACCACATACTCAATTACAAAACAAGTCTCAATATATAAAATAAAATTGGTATAATCCCCTAAATCATACCAGAACACCATGGATTAAATCTGAATTTCAACTACAGAAACAACAGAAAGCCTACATGGAAAACTCATGGAAACTGAACAACTCTCTATTGAATGAAAAAAATGAGTACAGAAAGAAGTAAAAAAAAAATGTCTTCCTAGAATCTAATGAAAATTAGTGTGCAACATATCCAAACTGCCAAGAGGCAAGTTCATAACACTAACTACCTACATAAACAAACAAACAAACAAACAAACAGGAGAGATCTCATACAAGTAACTTAACAGCATACCTAAAAGATCTAGAATCCAAATAAGCAACATCATTCAAGAGGAGTACATGGCAGGAAATAATCAAACTGGAGCTAAGACCAATAAAATAGAAACAAAGAAAACACTACAAAGAATCAATGAAACAAAGGGTTTGGTTCTTTGGGAAAATCAGCAAGATAGACAAACTCTTATCCAAACTAACTAAAAGACAAAGAGACAATATCCAAAATAACAAAATCAGAAAAGAAAAGGGAACATAACAATAGACACCAATGAAATACAAAAAAATCATTAAGTCTTACTTCTAAAGCCTGTACTCCACAATATTAGAAGAATCTGAAAGAAATGAAGAATTTCCTTGATAGATTTACCAAGTTAAATCAAGATCAGATAAGCAATGTAAATAGAACTATCACCCGAAAGGAAATAGAATCAGCCACTAAAAAATCTCACAACCTCAAAATACTAGGAACAAGATGATTATAGTGCAGAATTCTACCTGACTTTAAAGGAAGACATAATGCTAATCTTCCTTAATTATTTCACAAAATAGAAACAGAAGGAATATTGCCAAATTCATTTTCTAAGGCCAAAGTCACCCAGATATCCAAAACACAACGATTCAACAAAGAAAGAGAATTACAAATTTTCCTCATGAACATTGATGCAAAAATACTCAACGAAATGCTTGCAAACCAAATCCAAGTACTCATTAAGATTACCCATCATGATTAAATAGACTTCCTTCCAGGGATATGGGGCTGGTTCAACATACAAAATCCAGCCAATATAATCTACCATATAAACAAACTGAAAGAAACAATCATATGATCATTGCAATATATGGAGAAAAGGCCTTTGGCAAAAATCCAACACACCTTCATGGTGAAAGCCTTAGAGAGATACAAGATACAAGGGACATATTTAACCATAATAAAGGCAATTTACATCAAGCCTTTAGCTAACATCAAATTAAATGAAAAGAAACACAAAGCAATTCCATTAAAATCAGAAACAAGAAGAGGTTGACCACTCTCTCCATATCTATTCAATATAATACTTAAAATTCTAGATATAGCAACAAGACAGCTGAAGGTGATCAAGGAGATACAAATTGGAAAGGAAGAAGTCAAAGTATCATTTACAGATGATAGATAGTTCACATAAGTGACTCCAAAAGTTCTACCAGGGAAATCTTACAGCTGATAAATACTTTTAATGAAGTGGCTAGATACATTAACTCAAAAAAAAAAAAAAGTAAGCAGCCCTCCTATATACAAATGATAAACCAGATGAGAATAAAATGAGGAAAACATTTAACCCTTAAAATAGTCACAAATAATATAAAATATCTTAGGGGAACTCTAACCAAGCAAATAAAAGACTTGTGTGATAAAAATTTCAAGCCTTTGAAGAAAGAAATTGAAGAATATATCAGAAGATGGAAAGAACTCTAATACTCCTAAATTGGTAGGATTAACATATTAAAATTGTCATCCTACCAAAATCAATCTACAAAGTCCATGTAATCCCCGTCAAACTTCTAACAAAATTTTTTATAAACCTTGCAAAGACAAATATCAAATTCATCTGGAAAATCAAAAAACAACAAACATTAAAACAATCCTGTACAATTAAAAGAACACCTGGAAGTATCACCATCCTTGATTTTAAGCTATACTACAGATCCACAGTTATTGGCATAAAAACAGACAGATTGATCAATGGAATAAAATCAAAGACCCAGAAATAAATACATATACCTATGGATACCTGACTTTTAACTAACAAACCAGGAATACACAACAGAAAAAATAAAGAAAGCATCTTCAACAAGTGGTGCTAGTCTAACTGGATGACTGAATGTAGATGAATGTGAATAGATTCGTATCTATCACTGTGCATAAAACTCATATCCAAGTAGATCAAAGACCTCAACATAAAACCAAATACCCTGACCTTGATAGAAGAGAAGCTGGAGAACAGCCTTGAATTCATTGGCAAAGAAGACAACTTTCAAAACAAATCACTGATACCACAGACACTAAGAACATCAATCAATAATTGAGACCTCTTGAACCTGAGAATCGTCTGTAAGGTACAGGACACTATCAAAAGGACAGAATGGTAGCCTAAAGAATTAGAAGAGATTTTCATCAATCCCAGATTGCAACAGAGAGCATACTCTAAAGCATACAAAGAATTCAAGAAACTATACACCAACAAATCAAATAATCCAATTTATAAAATGGGTGCAGATTTCAACAGAAAATCCTGAACAGAGGAATCACAAATGGCTGAGAAACACTTAAAAGAAACACTCGGCATCCTTAGCCATTAGGGAAATGCACATCAAAACGACTCTGAGATTCCATCTTACATCTGGCAAAATGGTTAAGATATAAACACAAATGACAGCTCATGCTGGCTAGGATGGGAAGCAAGGGGAACACTCCTCCATTGATGATGAGAGTGCAATTTTGTACAGCTACTATGGAAATCAATATGGCGGCTTGTCATGAAACTGGGGATCCAGCTATACCACCCTGGCATGTACCCAAAAGGCACTCCATCCTACCACAAGGACACTTGCTCAGCTATGTTTATTATAGCACTATTCAAAATAGCCAGAAACTGGAAACAACCTAGAAGTACATCAATAGAAGAATGGATAGAGAAAATGTGGTATATTTACACAATGGAGTATTGCTAAGCTGTTAAAAACATTATCCTGAGTGAGGGAACCCAGACCCAGAAAGACAAACATGGCATGTACTCATTTATTGAGTACATGCATTAATACCCATTAGCTGTTAAGTAAAGGACAAACATCATACAATCCACAGACCCAGAGAGGCTAAGTAATAAGGAGGGCCCTTAGGGTTAAAGGAATGACACATGGATCTCCCTGAGAAAGGGAAATAGAATAGATTTTTTGGGCAGGTGGGGATGGGAACAGGAGGGATCAGGTACGAGTGGGAGAGATAGAGGGAGATAGTACAAGGAGAAATGAGTGTAAGGGAAGGGGGCGCACTTGGGGTCAAGGTAGAAACTTAGTGAAGTGAAAACTCTCTGGAGCATGAGAGTGATTCTAGGAAGTCCCCTGGCAATGGTGGATACAGAGCCTGAACCTGCTGTCTTCTATAACCAGGCAAGTCTCCTACCAGTGTGACTGAGCTATCAACCTAACCACAGAACCTTCAACCTACAATCTGTCCTGCCTGTGAAATGGGATGGAGCATCCTTTGGGTATATGCCCAAGAGTTTACAGCTGGGTCTTGAGGTAGAATGATACCCAGTTTTCTGAAGAACTATCCATTGACTTTGAGGGATCGAATGATGGGGCTGCATGGATAGCCAGGAACCAGAGGCAGCACAGCCCAGAGACCCAGAATAAAACCAAACATAATTGGTTTTTAAAAATCAATGGAATGCTTTCTAATGATATTCTGCTACACTCATGGATCAGGATCATAGACAGCACCAGTGCCCAATTGTCATCAGACTAGCAACAACTGAAGGGAACAAAACACAGCAAAACACTAAGCAAAGCCAGCAGAATGCTTCAGAAGATCAGAAGGAAGGATTCTAGGAGCCAGAGGGGGTCAAGGACACGATGAGAATATGGCCCACAGAATCAACTAAGCAGTTCTCATAGCTGCTCACAGAAACTGAAGCAACAAACGTGGAATCGCTTTGTTTGGGTCTGAGATTAGGTTCTCTACATATACATTATGGTTGTGTGGCTGTCTCTGACTTATCTGTTTGTTTTGTTTTGTTTTGTTTTGTTTTGTTTTGTTTTGTTTTGTTTTTGCCATTTTCCTCTGACTGGGTGGTCACATCCAGCTCTGATATGAGAGTTTATACCCAGTTTTATTGTATCTTTTTAGGCCATGTTTGGTTAATATCTTTGAGAGGCCTGGCCTTTTATTTTTTGGAAGGGGAACAGGAATTGATCTGAAGGAAAGGAGAGGTGGGGAGGAGGGACTGGGAAGAGTGAAGGGAGGGGAAACTGTGGTCTGGAAATAATCTGTGAGAAGAATAAAGTCACTCAGAACATAGGGGAAAATGGATGACTGTGTACAATTGTTGGTGGGTTCATCTGATTGGATCGACGTAACAAAGCATCAGCCATGCTTCAAACAGGAGGTTTTGCTTCGCTTTGGATTGTCTGTCTGTCTGTTTGTTTGTTTGTTTGTTTGTTTGTTTCAGTTGAAGATTAGACCATGAAGATTAAGCTGTTGTTGACTACTGAGAGCCAAGAGAAGTTCTGTCCTCTGACTCCCTTGCCTTGTGGATGCCTGTCCTCTTGTTGAGTCTTCACATCGCTTGCCCCCTGTGCACCATCTTCCTTTGGGTTTCACCTTGCGTCTTAGCCTCTTTTTTGTTTAAAGACATGAGATTGGATTCGGGCCTGGTCTACTGGCTTTATTTTTCCATAATCACCCATTTAAAGGCCTGATTTCCAAATAATTATACATTCACATAAGAAAAAAATTAGACTGAAGCATTAACATATGGCACAACCTATAGCCTAGCACTGGGGAGGATCTAAGGGAAGATCACAAACCCAAAACCAGCTTGGACTACGCAGAAATTTTGAGACAACCCTGACCTACATAGAAAAACAGAGAAGAAAGGAGAAGATAAAGAATGAAAGAAAAGGAGAGGAAAAAGAAAGAACAAAGAAAAATGGGAGGAGAGGGAAAGGAAGGTAGAGATTGGGAATAGAGGGGAAAAAACATGTATAATTTAAAATTTCCTCTAAAAAATAACAATTAAAATAGTGTGTATTAGTTTATAGCTATAGCTAATGAACTATTTCATTAGCTAGACATTAAATTTCATTGTATCTTATTTTCTTATTGACTATTAGGAATCAGAATGCATGTTTATACATGGAAATCTTTGTCTTATAAGTATAAAGAGAATTCACTTCAGAATTCTGAAATATCAAATAGAAGTATATAGTAAAAGGATAATGATAAATATTTATAACATACATTCTGTAAATTATTAAAGATAAAAATGATGAAAGGGATGATAGATCCATCATATATTCTTCAGCTTTACTAATTAAATATAAATGGTCACCAGAAAATTGTTGAGATATTTAACATTACCACGCCACTCTAGTGCCAAATGTCATTTATCTAACAGAGAACTCTTACACTGGTTCTATAAATGGAGGAGATGAAGGATCTCTGGGAATTCCAGTATTTATGCTTATATATCCCCCTTTTATTAGCCTATAAAAGTTGTATTTTGGGAACTCATTCTGTATATCTCGAAATCGTACTTCATATAGTTATTCAAAGACCTAAAGTATCACTTACATAGTAAAGCCATTAAATGAAGCATAGTCCTCAGCTGTAAATCCATAAATATCTTTGCATGTTAGGTCCGTATCTTGCTGAAGAAGAAGTTTTATATAACTTGTTGGTTCAACAATCAGAGCAATCATGATGGCTGTTCTGGAGCAAGACATTCACAAATTTATTCTTCTCAACTTTCCACTCAAATATAGGCCCTCTACTCCTAGGAAAGGAGTCACGGAGAAAACAGAAAGCATTGGGCTGGTTTGCTCAAAACTGCACAGCAATGACAGACCATAGGAAGGCACCGAAACACATGCAGTCACTGGAAAGCAGCTGATTCAGTGGTTTTCAAACTCTGCCTCCTGGAAGCCTCCTGCTTTCCAGATGCCTCAAAATTTCATAGGAGGGACTACTGGGCAACCTAATCCCTCTTTCCCATTAACTACAACATTGGCTCCTGCATAAGATTCAAAAGTTATTATAAATGATGATAATAACTTAAAAGTACCCATGTAATTAAGCAGTTCAATTTTACAAATTGAAAAAAAAGAACATTTGAGAAATATAGGTAATTTGCCCTAAATCATACCATGTGATTAAAATATCACCGATATATAAATGAATATGTTCATATTTACATGGTCTTATTAATAAATTGTAGTTACATGACATCCTACTTAGCTTTATTTATTATGTCTATACCTGTGGTTTTTATCTGTTGCATTTACATCTGCTCCTTTCTTCAGAAGGAATTTTACCATATTTTCATTATTTTCGGCAACAGCAAGTAAAAGTGGAGTGTAGCCATCCTGTAAATATTATTTCAAAATAATTACTTAAATAATTTTTAGTTGCATGCTTTTAGGTTTAAGTACAATTTTAAAAGAAACTCTTGGATGTATATTTTAATTTTTAAAAGATTCTTGTATCTAAAAATAGCTGACTTTAAATACCAACAAACAAATTAAGGTCAGGCTGCTACATTTTAAAACATAAATAGTATTCAAGGCTTGATGCAAACCATACATGTAAAGTGACCAAGTCATGAATATCATTTGTATAAGTTTTGTAGACCATTTTCTCAAATGTATATACAATTATATATAATTGTTTCTATAGTTTTACTTAATAACTTCCAAGACTATTATATACAAAAAATACCACTGAAATAAAGTGACAAGATACTTTCTTAAAAATTATTTTTCAGTTATATTCACTAAAGTTCAAAGGGAGAATTAGGCTAATTTTAGCATAAAAACTAATTTTTAATTCAGTTCTGTTACTATTATGTAGCAATAACAATTTTAAGAGATGAGGTTTATTATTTTATGTTAATACTAAATTATAAAGAACTCAAACATTCTTATCCTGTATGGCCATTTGAAAAATTATCACTGAGAGATCTGTTTCTTTGCACATCAGGATTAAGGTCTTCAATGAAACCCCTAAGGTGAAATGCAAAGACTTGAAAAGAAGGAAATCATCAGCTTTTGATAACCCATTCTCTCAATTGAGTTTGGCAAATTCATTCTCTATATTAAAATATATGTTTCTGCTATATGAATTATCTGCAATGAATACTCTATTTAGTAGCGTTCTAAAATGCATATTTCCTTTCATAGCTGCTTACCTTATTTTTGGCTTCAAGACTGGCTTTGTATTCAAGCAATTTATCAGCTAATGAGATATTCTGGCCACAAACAGCATAATGAAGAGCAGTATTACTATAAACATCTCCCATATCTGGGTCTGCACCATGGTGTAGAAGAAGCAAAACACAACTCTCCTGTTGACACTGTACTGCCTGCCAGTGGAACCAAAATAAATGAGTGGACAACTTCCCATTTCAGATACATAAACTAACATTTATTGATACAACATAAAGCAGAAAAGCCAATAAAATTTAACTAGGATAAGTGCTCAAACATGCTCCACTTAAAAAGAAGGAAAAATGGAACACACCTTAATCAATGGGGTTCTCTTTTCACTATCCTGAACATTAATTTTGCATTGATTCTCAATTAAGAGAGAGACAATACTTGTATGTCCATTAGCACAGGCGAAATGCAAAGCTGTTCTATATTGATAAAATAAAACACAAAGTTAGAAATACATATCAAGTATTTATTATAACCATGAACAAATAGGATTAGATATAAGTATATTTGTTTTATGTCTAATGAAAATTATGCTAATTATAATTGATTTTAATGAATTTAAGAGGCTAAACAAATGTCTTGAAAATCAAATACCATTTTAAGGAAAATTTGACTCTACTAAATTGAAAGGAATTTTTCTTCCTGATTTAAAATAACACTGGTATCTGGACTTCAGAATAGATAATAAAATAAGATACCCTAACACAATTCAGATTGCTTTCCAAAACTTAAGAAATATCTCTAACAGAAAGGGCAATGTCAAAAGCATCACTCTCTCTATTGTATATTTCTCTGCCCAAGTAGTATTGACATTTCCAACGTTGCAAATGTAACAACTATGTAAAGTATGTGTTTACATAGTTGTCACATACAATTTGTTGTGTGAAATCTGTGATAAAGTAAATAAGCTTGCTACACTATTCAGGAACTCCAGGACCAGGAGATCCAGTGCCCTCTTCTGGTCTCCTCAGCAAGGACATGATACACATAAACTCAGGCACATGTACAAATAAAAATTATTTTTTAAAACATGAATGTGTAACACAAAAGAAGAAAAGCAATCATTGTCTGGCCAAAGAAGTTTGTTACATTATATAAAATTATCAAGTTTCTTTAAACAAAAACGATGTTATTTTGATATTTCCAGGTTTTAAAGACTTAGTAATTTTCATGTTGATTGCCTTTCCTCACACACATACACATGCATGTGGGACACAACACATGCCAAGAAGCAAAAAAGCAAAAATAAGAGAGAAAATAGTGAGCAGTGGCGATTAAAGGAGAGGAGAAGGATTCAATACTCAAGCAAACATTCGCGAGTGAAAATCCAAAGCCAATGTGTGACCCTAGGCAAAAGGCAGTGATTCTGTTCAGGAAAACTCAGAATGACATCCAGTGTTATGCAACCCTGACGTGCTTTCTCTATGGTTGGAGACCTTATAGCCAGCTGCCCCAGCTTGTCCTCACCAACTCCCCTCTAGATCCTAGGTTCTGGTCACCTGTTTCTTTTGTCCCGCCCATTCACATCGTATTTCTTGCGTTCAAGGTAATCTTTCAGCTTCTGCACATTTCCAACTGAAGCAGCTTTATGAAGTTTCTTCAAGTGCTTATCTCTGAGGCGATATCCCCCACCTGTGGACAGGCTAGGCGCGGTACTGGCCATGCTGATGGACAGTTCTGAGGAGTGGCTGTGTGACTCATCTGTCTTCCTCTTGCCGCTGAAGGGAATGAACTTCTTCATGGTACGAAGATCTCTAATTAAGATGTTCCTGGGAATCCTAACCAACGGCCCAGGTCCTCTGGCGCAAGCTCCTCGTTCGCAACTGCCTCTAGATCTGACCAAATCCAGAGTTGTGTGTAGGCAAGAATCTTTGCTTGACTATAGCCATGGACCAAAGCAGCTATATCTGTTGCCTAGAAACTGTGAAGGGCTTCTACTGCGCAGCTGCAGTCTTGATTGTGATCCAGTTAGAGGAACTGGATTTCATATCTGATTGATTTTGGTTTTACAGCCACATACACAATCTTGCCATTAAGTCTTGAGCCTTGGAGAGAAACCTATTAACGAATAGTCCATTTTCCTTCAAGGATAGATTTAATAGCTTGTAATTTAACCAACTGAGATTGGGACGAAGAAAGTGGATCTCTGCCAGTGATGTTGTCTCCATTTGCATGGTCACGTGCTATAGCTTGTCTTTAACAATAACTACCATCTCTGGGTGATCTCAATTTCAAGCACACTTTGTAAATATGCCCCTCATGTACCACCTTACCTAGTCTAGTCACAAAATTAAAAGTTCTATGACAACTGAGGTCACTGTATCTAAGGTTCATTAATTCTATCACTTTTCCCTTGTCCACCTTTCCCTGTGTCCTCGGTGTTCTACTTAAGAAGACTGGATTTCCTTCATTAAAATCCCTTCCATGTAAACATGGTTAGTAAATGTGTCTCCTCGGCTTATGTCCCTAAACCTAAGCCCTAGTAAACTCTAAACCGTTTTGTCTGCTCTGAGACTCTGAATGTGACTAAAGGGAAAACCCACCATCACGCTGTCAGTTTTCATTTTCAGTTCAAGAATATGACTTTTAAGAAGACTGTTACTCTGTCCATCGACACTTAACTATTTCCCTGGCCCAACTGTTGTCCTTTTTCCCTCCTCTGTTTCATTGTTTCTCTCCAAAGCTACGTAGCTAGTGGCTTTGCTTTCTAATTGAGAATGACAGTAGAGAAATTCTACACCAGGCAAATAAGCCTACCTGATTATCTACATCTTACCAAAGCAAAAACAAACAAAAACCATCTTTTTCAGGTAGATTATATGTCCAGATTCCTATCAAAAGCCAGTATCGTTCTTATTTGCCCAAAACACTGTAGCCCACTTGAAAATACTGCTTAAGTAAAATCTCCCCTGCATTCCTTATGGGTCTTACAAGTTTCCTTCTCTGATCACTAATTCCAATTAGTATAAATATATGCTAAGATATATCCCATCAAAAAACAGACTTTTGGCTACTTTGTGGGTTCCCCTTTTTCTACCACCCTACTCCTTATCCCTTTCCAACCCCACAACACTAGGCAGGGGAGAAAGAAGGTTAGAAGTAGAAGGCGGTGTTGATATCACTACACCACTTCCTGATGATTAAAGGTGTCAAGTTCCTTGAGACAAATCAATTTCTTCTACTTGATAAACAACAACCAACAGCATCCAAACAGCAGCAACAGCAACAGCAACAGCAAGAGCATCAGCAGCTGCCACCACTCTTGGGGATCTGGACTTTATAGACCCTCTCAAGAGTTCCAAGAATTCCAAACGTAAACTATCTTCAACTTTCAAAAATCACACCCCTGTTGTCAGAGCATTAGATAAATCATACATGCTGTGGACAATCTGAGGCAGCCTCATATTAAAATAAAAACATAGCGTTTCTGTGTTTTTAAAGAAACCAAAATCTCCACTACACTTAGATGTGAGTTTCTTAAGGCAAAGACTAGTATAACGAACACAACAGGAAAAACCATGTTTACACTGTAAATGTGAAGCTGTAGAATAGTGTCCAGCTGGACATGGTAGCATAAGCTCATAATTCTAAGATTCAAGAAACAGGCAGGAGTGTTTTGCAAGCTCAGAGAACAGCCTTGACTACAGAATGAGACCTTGTCAACCTTCCTCCCATCACCAGCAAAAAACAAAACCAAAGTCAAGACCGAATAGTGTTCACTACAATAACCTAAATTGTTTTGAGAGAATTGAGAGATGAAGTGAACTGGGATTCTGAGTCCATGCCTCTCTCCCAATCTTTCCCCTAATCTTTATTGACTTTCATTTCCTCACCTAGACTTTTTGCCTATCATTTACTCCTCTCATGTTCATAGGAAATGCATTATTTATCAAACTATAAAAGCATGAGCTCTGTGCTAGGTCAGAGATGCAGATACTTTTCAGTTTTGCTTTTCTAGGTATAACTCCTAAGAGAAGACACCACCCAGGCCAGGAACTTCTTGTCCCGTCATGTCACTGTAACCCCTTGGTCCCTCCCATAAGCAGTCTGCACTCTCCGAGCCTTGCAAGATGAAAATTTGAGACAGTGTGGTCTCCTTTATTTTCCTTTGAACAGAGAGGGCTTGCATACACTGCTATCTTTCCCCTAACTCCTGGCTACCAGGTTTTCAGAAGAACAGCTAAAAGTATAGACCTCAGATTCCAGTTTAAAAGAAAAAAAGACTTTTTGTTTTGATCTAAGTTGCTAGCTCTCAGCCTTGTAGTTATATAAAGCTCAGTGTCTCAGTGCCTAGCAACTAGTGTCTCTTGTTCCTGAACAATTTACTACAAGCTAATAATTGTCCTTCTTTATCAGCTTCTAAGGATAGACCCATGATTCCAAAATGAAATCCATATTCTCTAGGTATTTTTTAAAAAGACTGTGCTTCCAGCTCTGTCATGTCTGAAGATTTATCAGCTAACAGTTTAACTCCTGCTGAAGCTTTGTAAAACCATCTGCCTCTGGTTACAGATTTTATTTCATGCCACTAAGCTGGTGTCTTGTCCACACAGATATTCTTTTGAATCTTCCAAAAAAAAATCAACTTCCTTCTCTAAGAGTGAAGCACAAATTTTGTCCTAGTACATTTCCCTTCTTCCTTCACAGTTTTATTTGGACAGTCAGCTGGCATGTTCAGGACAACCCAGAGGTTCAGTGATACATGAGGATTCAGAGGACTCAGCAACATGACTGTCATGGTTATAGTTTATTATAGTGAAAAAGTACATATGGTGAAATTAAAGAGAAACCAGACTTGCTTCCTGTGTGGCTGTACATACCACCTAGTTCTCTGGACAACAATGCCTGGTATCATGTTCAAAAGTCTCACTGGAGCAACTCAGTTGACCCTTGCTGTTTTGGGGTAATCAGGCACAGACCCATGAATATATGCAGCTCCCATTTGGCTAGCCTTGGCTACTGAAGCTCAGTGTATTCAGCATGTCCATGGCTGTATGCATATGCTCATTTACCAGCTAAGCTTTTCAAAAACTGACAAGCTTTCTGTCCTATATATTATTATATAACCACGTCTTGCCCATCCATGTCTCCCTGTGTACCAACTCAAAAAAGAATTATTAAACGTTCATGCTAGTCACTGTCTTTAAGAATCCATCTAAGTCCACTGATTTCCACGCACTCCTTCATGGCTTCACACATCTCTACACACAGAAGTATTTACACATCTGCCATGCATTTTGTGTATGGCCTGCAATTCCCTCCTGACTAGGCCTGCCACCTCTCTGACAGTGATCATATAAATGCAGGAAATAAATTTTTTGCTGACAAAGTGTTTAGTTTTACCCATAATCTTTAATGTAAGCTTTCATTTCCCCTTAGTTACCTTCAATCTCCATAAGGTAGTTTCAGGATACAAAATCAACGATGCAAGTGCTTTTCCACTCTTCCACTCAGACTGGCACACTCACACCTCCACGCTAACAAAATCTGACTGACCCCTCTAACCGTTCCTCCAGCTTCCCGTGGTTTGCTCCTTGCTTGCTCTTCCTGTTTGGTTTCGTTTTGATAATCAAAGCAACACTTTATAATGCACAAGAGTATACTTCCCTTGCCAAAGCCCTGGCATCTTACCAGAATGTCTCTCCTGAAATCTTCATAGTTTTGAATTTTTGTGGGTCAAATTAAATTTCTTACACGTATACCATTATTAGGCTAAAGCTATTATTAGTATTGATTTTAAGCATTTATGGATCATCACAACCTAAGAGGGCAGGTTCTCTCTGGTCCAAAGCATGAGAAGATTGATTGGCTGCCATTATAAACTGTGTCACACCCGGAGTGTGCATTTATAGCATTCAACCTGGCCTGACACACCAAATAAGAATCCCTTTAGAAAAATCATCCCTCTTATTTGTCTCAAGTTAAGTGTCCCTGATCCTTTTCTTCATTAGCCAGAATTGGATGAGATACTTAGATGCTTTTTTAAAATAAAATTTTAAAACATTTAACATTTTCTTAGTAATTTTATCTGATGACAACCATATACAGGTATGCAGTGCTCTGATGACGATAATGCCTACCTTCTCTTATCCCCTCCTACTCCCTATCTACAGCCCTCCTCTCTTCCTACTGGTCCCTTTCCTATGCTACCTCTTTTGGTTTGGTTTTGTGACAAAATTTAACCCACAGGTTGGCCTCAAATTTGTAATCTTCCTGCTTTAGCCACCCAAGTGACAGAATTACAGGCATGCTAAGCCACCATATAAATGGCTTAGAAATTCTCAATTCTTGTCAACAAATGAAGCTTTTAGTGCTGGGACTGGGTTTCAACCAATTGAGTTTTGGCCAAAGGGTCCCATGGAAATTCCTACACAATCCAGGCTATTGCCAAGATAATAGGTTGCTTTCCACAAACTGACAGCAGGTCCCATTGCTAAAACATGCTATCACAACTCATTGAACTTGGAGAGGTTGAGCTGGTGCCTACATATAACCTTCATCCCATTTTGTAGTGTCTTTGACAATGCACCCTGCAAGCTACCAAAGAGTTATGCAAACACCAACACAACCACAAAACTTTTGATCTCTGTATAATCTGTCCTGCCTATAAAGTATGCCAGGGCAACAATGCCACAAACCTTGTGGGAGTAACCAAACAATGTTTGATTTGACAGAAGGCTCACTCCATGCTACAAAACCCATACCCAATACTGCCAGGGTAATCAAGAACCAGACAAGATATGATAGCTCAGAGCCTAGAGCTCTAGGGTAAAAGCAAATACTACTGTTCAAACAAACAAACAAAACAAAGTAACAATGACATGATTCCTAGTAATACTCTGCTATAGTCCTAGATCATGTCTTACTCAGCCATCACCAGAACAGCTTCTTCTTGCAGCAGATGGGAACAAATGCAAAAACATACAGCCAGATATTATTCAGAGAAACAGGTGGGAGGGAGAGAGGGAGAAAGGAAGAGATGGAGAAAGAAGAGAGGGAGGGTGAAAGGGGGAGCACACAGCTTTAAACAAGATGTTCCCATCAAACAACTCCCCTTAGAGCTCAGTGAACCTCACCGAAGGGAAAGCAGGAGTAGGGAAGACAGTGGGGATGGGGCATACTAGAAAAAGCCCTTTAAAACAACCAAGCAAAGCTGGTATAAATTTAGGGAGACCGAAACAGCAAACACAGGGCCTACACGTCCTGTACCAGGTCCTCTGCATACATATTATACTTTCCAGTTCACTATTTTTATGGGACTCCTGACAGTGGGTCTCTCATTCTTGTGCCTTCTTTTGGGGCTCTTTTATTTTTCTGTTGGCTTGCTTTGCCCAACTTGGATGTGGTGGGTTTTGTTGTCTTATATTTTGTTACGGCTGTTGTTGGTATCTCTTAGAAACCTGTTTTTTTTTTTTTTTTTTCTAATAAGAGACAGAAAGGGAGTTAGATCTGAATGGAAGAAGCAGTTGGCAGGAACTGGGAGGCGTGGAGGGGAAGCTGTATTCACATTACATTGTATGAGAAAAAAAATGTTTAGTAAAAAGGGATGGGGAAGAACCACTTGGAAGAGAGGGCTTCTTTTGCACATGAAGCATGTTATTAGTGTTGTTTCTGAAAGAAATAAAAAACAAAGAAGATAAAAAAAAAAAGAATGTTTACTGTTTACTACTACCCTAATGAGAACAGAGGAGTTATATCATATAAAGAATACTAAAGTAGGAAAATAGAGTGGATTTTTAGAACAACCAACAAAAGAACAATTTAAGTATATGAAAATACACAAAATACAGAAAGGCCTAAAATGGTAGATTTTTAAAAAATGTTTAATGTGAAACCTTTCCATCTTCGGAAGATGTCTTGAAGACAACTCATATCCTCCAATTGTCAACTCCTCCATCCCCCACATGCTGCTGGCTGGTAGCAGATGGTTAGTTAGCAGTGTAGGAAACAGAGCTGGTGAGTTCTATTTGCCCCCATCCTTACCATGATGCAACCTACAGACAGCAATTTTCCTGAATAACAGAAATGGGAAAAATGATCAAACCAAATTATATCTATTTAAAAAGATGACTGTAATCGCTTTAAATGAATGCAGCTTCATACATTATATCCTGATACTAGAACAATTTAGTGAACTTATTCAATCTTTCCATCAAAATGATTGGGAGAAGGGACCACAAAAGAGGTACTTCACCATGGATCAATGTGTTTATTTTGTCCCCTGGCTTAGAGGCAGCTTTCAGTACTTATCAGCTTGCCAAGTGTCCCTGACAGCACTCCCATATTTAAGTATAGTAAGGTTTAGCAAAAAAATAAATAAATAAATAAATAAATAATAAAAATTAAAATTAAAAAAATGGTCACTAGGAGGCAGTGTCACAAATAGCAACTAAGTCCTTACAGGGATCCCACTACAAGCAGAAATAACAATAGCCACTAGTACTTGTCAAATGTAAGAACAACTCTGTTGAACAGAATGAAGTATTTCACAATTAAATGAATGCTTAGCTGGCCAGAAGAGAACACTGTGTAAAACTGGATGGAATTAGTTTCTAGTCTCACATGGAAACACTATGCAATTTTATCTCATTTGCCCAAGAATTAAGACAGAACATACCGTGTTCTAAAAATGCGTCAAATCAATAAAATGGAATCATAAAGACTCAAGTGCCTGGTTGACTTTAAGAATTATTCCCATTTGTTCTATTATAGATGCAATAAATCGAGACCAATGAGCACAGCTCACAAACATGTTTTTACATTGCCTCAGGTAGCTCTGATGAGGTCAGTTTGGGGGACTGCCATTGTCTACAAAATCCTAGATAGATTATATAAGATCGCCAGGGGAAGCATCCAGCATTACGCCTGCAAAACAATGCGCACTCAAACAATGCTACTAAATTGATAATGGCTCACAAAACACCATACTCCAAACAAAGACTGCTTTATACCTTTGACTAGGAGAATTCACATGGCATTACAAAGGGTTACATCCTTATCCACTTAACCAGTTCTTTCAGAGTGTGAAGAGAAATGTTCACATGGTTATCCTACACTGATATCAAACCTTTCTATTCTTTACGTATTCTCATTGTTGGCTTTAAATTTTGAGAATGATCTAAAGGTACTGATTATCGAAAAGGCTGTCTAAAAATTAAGTACTGATAAGAAATTATCTTTAGTGTTTATGGATCCATAATTTGTTCTACTTTTATACCCAAACTGGCACCATGAAGCCATTTAACAAAGTGATTTAACCTAAAAGTGATATTGTCTTGAATAACTTAATGGTACTTTTAAAACTACAAAGAACAGCTTTTCTCCTCAATTTATATAGTCCTCTTTTGCCCTTTCAAGTAACTTTATGAAAATAGCTTGCCCAGAAACATTTCTAACTCATTTTCAGTAAACTGGTTTTTAATTATGCCTTGTGTCTGAATCACAAAAGATGTGATAGTTGTAACTGACTTGAGACTTTATAAGTAATACTGACTGCAGAATAAACTTCCTTAAGGAACATGTAAACCTTGACACTGCAGAGAGACTAGTGTCTCCCGTAACAGTTTTCTTGTAAGACCGAATCCAGTTTGAAGTGGCTGTGAGCACACAAAGAGCCAGGGAAATCTACGAAGAGTCAGGAAACAGCATTTGGCCCTGGATCATTCACTTCCTTCAAAAAAGCATTCTGAATGTTTTATCCAATCTCAATCAGAAAACAATATGATAAATAGTTTTGGGGAAAGATGCATGGACTTAATTTGTACTGGTAGAATAAAAACTTTGAGGAAGTAAATTAAACAATCTGGCTTAATTTTTGGAATCAGTTTCGTATGTAAAGTACTACGTATTATTCAAAACATCTCTTTCAGTTCCTAACCTCACTGGCTTTACCGATTTTGCATCACAATCATTTTATTACTGATTACAGGTTGGAAAGTGTCATGATGCCATGTCTGTAACTTTATCTTACTTCCACCCCTTCCTCACAAGGTTTGTTTTTACTTAACCAAAATGACTATATAAGAGTTCTGGATGTTAAAGTGTTCAACAAAGTTGGTTCTAAACTCTGAAGACAGTCTTTTCTATAAGCCTTCTCAGAACTTACAAACTCTGCATCATCATTCCCTTCTGAACTGACGTTAGGTTAGTTAATTCATAAAATTATGGTATTCAGGCCAAATAGAGCCAGCCTGCTCCATAAATGAAGTTCTACTGGGAAGACAGCCAAAACCACACACTTATGAATTATCTGTGGCTGCTTAGGCAAGCAACTGTTATGGAGACGGCATAGCTCTTAAATTTTTATTAGTTGCATCTTTACAGAAAATTTTGTACCTTCACTTAAAAAATGAAAAATACTAAAAACATAAATTTTATTTGAATTACAAGAATGTCTACGTTTCTCAATTCTATCACTAAGATACCCACTCATTTTGGCACACACATTAAACTGATGAGTTCTATGAATGTTTAAAATATTTAAATATGACTTACAGCACTGTTTCTATGAATTTTTTTAAAAGTTTATCAAAGTAGCCCTCATGGACTAAGCAACGAGAGAGACAGCAGACAGCACTGCTTCTGATATAACTAATTTCCCACATTAAACAAAAGCCCTTTTTATAGAGACATTCCCCATACTTTTTTTTAAAAAATTCAATAGTACAATAGCATTTAAGGTAGAGAATCTATTTTCATATACCAAATCTCGTGACTTTATTCGGCATCTAAAGTTTTATCTACAAACTCTTGGTCATTCCTAATTTCCTATTAACTTTTGTTACTCAACCAAATTTTTTATACACACCTCTTAGACCTAAGGAACAATTTTTTCTACTGGAGAACTGTAGTACATTGAGATGAAGTCTATGACACAGTTACCTGTAGAAGACAATTTACTATCTGGTAATTGTCTTTAAAAAAAAAAAAGAAAACAACAACAACAAAAAAAAGAAAACCACAAAAGGCAATGTGTGTTTTATTACTATTATTTGCATGTATAAGTTACAATAATAGCCTAAGTTCTCTTTACAGCCAATTTCCCATAAATATTAAATTACCAAAAGTAATGGCATTTTCTAAGTTTTCAAAATGATCCTTAGATTTTTGTATCATTTGGTAGAAAAATAAACCAGGCAACCACATTTATTATTAATTTAGGCAATGTTTCCCAATAAAAATGTAGAAATATTTAAATTACATATTACAGAGTACCAACATGAAGTCAAAAATCCACAATTATACACTCATAAAAAAATCTAAACAGCATTCTCAGAATAAGACGTTTCTGTACAGGATTTACAGACATCTCACTACACACTGAGTTTTCAGTGTGCTACGGAGTTCAGAGGTTCTGCTCGGATGTTTCCCAAGTCGAGTGCAGAATCTGTCTCTTCATCTATTTCCCCAATGACTGCTCTGTTATTAGTATGGGAAAAAAGACAAAGTTAAATACATTTCTATAATAACCTTACATACATTTCTAAAGTCTCATTAAGTACAGCACCTTGTTTCATTCTTCTGAAGCATGTGAAACTGAGAAGGTGCAGTAAAAACACAAGGTGGGAAGCAAAAGCCACTTCATCACTAAGTGAATTACCCATAAGTCATGACTGAAGAAACAGTGTGAAGGCACTACAGGAACATATGTAACTGTGAAGAGTCAAACTGACAGCTGATCTGCAGCATTCATATAACAAACAAAGCCCTCATGTGATAGGGGGGCTAACTGTACGCTACTACCAGACTCTAATCCACTTACTTGCAAAAACTCTTAGAACTCTAAGTCTGTTTTCATGGGCTCCTAAAAGCAGGCTCTAGGCCCAGTAGATTTAGGGTAAATGTTCACCTCTGGTTTCTTTTCCATAGACACGAGAGGTACCATACTAACCCAACAGTCCACACACTGCCAGTGTTTCATCAGCACTGCGTGGTCAGGGGACCTGGCCCTCTGCTCTGGATCACCCTTCGTAACTCTCACCTTATCATCTAACCGAAACGTCATTTCCGGAGACCATTTTATAAACACAATTTTAATCAAGACTCAATTGATCATATTTACCTAAATACAGTTTTCAGATAAAGTGACTAAAGCATGTGTTCATTTCAAAATAAGCTTACAGTATTCATTAACAAATTAAACTTAAGCATATCCACAGAGTAAATTCAGTATCCCTTCTCCTACATCTTACACAGTCCTTCAAACCTCCTAGTTAATATCTTTTGCTGTTCTCTAGTCATATTTTGACTCTTCATAGTATTCTAAAAACATAAATATAATTAAATTTAAATTTTAGCCATGGAAGATGGATTATATGTATAATCTTAAGCTTGGGAAGCTAAAGGAAAATGAAATAAATCTGGGCTAGGTAGCAAGTTCCAGGTCAGCCTTGAATACTCACAAACAAAAACAAAAAATAAACCAAAACAAATTCCAAAACCAACCAAACAAACAAAATAACCCCAAAGTCAAAATTTAAATTAGTTCTTTGGTCACCAGCCACTTTTCAGACACACCATAGCTACACAAAGCAAGTAGCTGTAACAGTGGAAAATGTTGAGACGTGAGGCTTCCCATCGTCAGAAAACACTACTTTGAACAGCATTGCTCACAATCTCCAACTCCACTGTCAGTGTCCTAAATTCAACAAGAACAGGTGTTTCCTGGGACACAATTTAAGTACATCCACTTCTAAAACAGTAGCAGCTAAATGAGCATGAGTTATCTTAAAAAACTCAAATGGGAGATTTTTTAAAGAGATTTTCAAAAATGTTAAGAAGCTTCTTTAAGGAAGAATTTGATACAAAGCAAGGCCCTTTCTGGATATATCTAGGTACACACACTGGTGGTTTAGGATGCTCAGAGGCTGTGGTAGTAGTTCAAGGTCAGTCTGAGAAACTTAGGAAGGCCTGGTCTCAAGACGTAAAAAGAGAGAACACAGCTCAGTAGTAGACTGCCTGTTCTCCATGTACAAGATTCTAGATTCAAGCCCCAATTCTCAAATAAGTAAATACACATGACATCTCAGTACATAAATGTTTGGTTTGTGAGTTCACTTTATTTGACTCCCAAGGCATCTCAACATAAAAACTTAGAATTTATATAGGATAAGTTGTATGTACAAAACAAGTGCACAATTCTATTATACACATGACATCACATCTGTTGGAGAAACTCTCTCTTCCATAAAGCATGCATACCAGTAGTGAGAATGTGCTCAGAATGACTGCGTACTTACACATTATCGCCTCTCACAATGTAGAGCCCCAGCACCACTTGTTCTACTCCCTGTGAAGAGCTGAACACCCGTTCATGGCTTTCATCCAAAATCAAGTTAATAGTCTGGTCAAAACCTTTCAGTGTTCCCTAAAACAAGAGGGGGGGGGGAGAGATGCAGGCATCATTATTCTTAAGTAAGTAACCTCACACAGTCTAGGAACTAGCACTTAAGAATGAAATAAAACAGGACAGATTTAAGGAGAAATGATTTTTTTTTTAAAGTTAATAATAAGAGGAACCATCAATACAAAAGACCACTATATAGTACTTCTTAGGGAAAGGTCACGTGCTAAAGAAACACTCAACATGAATCACTTCCACGTTCCTTCTTCTTTGGAGACAGTATTTTGGGTTTGCCCATTTCAAATAAAGTACTCCAGAAAAATGATGATTCAAGATTTATTTCATGGATGAAATAGTAGATCCTGAAAAACAAAACTAGTTCCAGAGCCAGATTACAAAGTAACTATGCCACTTTGTTGTACACAATGTTATTACAAACTAGGTGATAGTTACAGTTAATATTGTATATCTCCTTGCTGCCAACACTGTGTCTTGTGTATATGTCTAACTGAATTCTGTCAATATTACAGTAGAGATATTGGAACCGAAATAATCAGAAACTTAAATGGACGAAAATAAGCAGGAAAAGTTGTATGGCTCTAGAAAAACAGAAATGCTATTCATGTTTCTGAAAAAATAGCTTATTTTGGATTTGGCTGGCTAATCTCTTGGGTCTGCCATTAAACTTATGATCCAAATTAGTTTATATAGAATCAGAATAAAATAAATAGAAACTTGGAATCCAGAAACTGAAAAAAAAAAAAAAACCAACAAATTAGGCTATTTACTATACTAGTCAGTAAATGCGGGTTATCACATAACCCCAGAAAAGTCCTCTTGCCTTCATTTTATACACAAATATTTTATCAGACGACTTTGTGATAAAGATAGAACTAGTCAATATCAATGCTTTTGTTCAGCTTTTTTTCTATAAACCTTTTGTAACAGAAACAAGAAATTTAAACACAAGGCTTTAAAAATCAGCAATTTACAAACTATCTTTAACAGTAATAAGACTTCCTAATCGCCTACAGTTTACAAATTTATAGACTATGAACTGACCACCACTACAACATCAACAACAAACTACAAACAAAAAACTTACATATTTGTTTCCTTTATTAAGAACAAGCAAAGGGAGTAATCTTGGTTTTGGAATAAAATACCATTGATGGCACTATATAGTTCTGTCACTTGTTATACTGACTCTGGGAAAGTAACTCATTTTTTCTATGATTGATTCCTAATAACAATGTAAGTGGTAATTCTTCATAAGACTGTATGTCAGACTAAATGACACACAAATCCTTAGCACATGATATGCATCTGGTCTATGTCACTATGACTGGCATTGCTCATGAAAGAGAAGAATAAAAGGATTCATAAGAATATTAAGGAGCTGAAGAGATGGCTCAGTGGATAAGAGTACATACTGATCTCCAGAGTCCTTCCCAGCACCCACACATTGTGGCTCAGAACTGCCTGCAACTTCAGTTCTTGTGGCTTCCTTGTGTACCTGTACACATACGGCAGACACTCATGCAAACATGCACAACAACCATGAGCAAAAATAAAAATAAATCTTTAAGGAAAAAAAAAAAATCACAGAATGGTATAACATGGGATCAAGTTACAGTCACACAGGAAATATTTCAATCAGAAATAGTAGATCAGGCGATGGTCCCAAAGATTGTACCACTAGTGAAGTCATTGCTAACTTAGGTTTCCAAAACCATTCATTAGTCTGAAGAACCATTTCTCAGATTGAATCTCCTCAGTGATAAGCAACCTATTAGGGCACCCACATAATATCCTTTAAGTTCTCAAAGTTAAACGAACGAAATGGGATAGAAGGAAGAGATGCAAGAAGAAAACAAATCAGCTTTTCACACAGCTCTGTATTTCAGATCAGAGGCCTTCCAGGTTGACTAGAAAAGTTGTACAGGCACCAAGAGATAAAGTTAAATAGCTGAATCCTAAAAACACTGAAAAACAGGTATGCTGTGGTACCTGACCATTAGGCCTGTAACATTACCTCAATTTTACAATCAATAAGCCTCAAGAAAGAGGAAAAGGAAAATGTTACTCACCACAATCATTCTCCCATCAGAAGTAATAACAGCAACAGTCCCTGAGAACCGAGTCAAGGAAAGTATTTCTTAAAGAATACAAACTGAAAACTTTCAGCTTGGAAAGGAAATGGTTCCAATTACTTAAAAAAGAAAAAAGACAGAACTAGGATTCAACACTGTCACTGCTCCTGAGGAAGAAAAGTGAAGTTTTTAAACTTGTTTCAGTTGTACCTTGAAAACAGTTCATCAGCCAGGAGACCGGTATAGTATGTGACCATTTGACCCTGGCTTAAACAGCAATGTTTTTAAGCTCTGACACTGAGCAAGTCATTTCTTAACCTTTAGAGTAAAACCTGGATGAGTGCTAATCAATGTTGGATCACTTCATGCATGGTAAGACCCTTCTCATCCAAGACCCTGTCATAATTAATGCCATCAAGTACAAATAATTCTTGCATCATTCAAAGCTCTCTGTATATAACTATGGTTCCCACTTTGAACATATGTTCCGTGCAATGTTTTTGCCCTGACCTTAGAACAGCAATCCTAACTTAAAATCCCATCTGGGCTTTTAAAAGCTACTTGCCACTAGCTAAACACCATCACAAGATTTATTTTTCTTCTATCGCATTAGACATTTCAAGCGGAGGTATGGGACCCGAAATCCAAATCTAAGAAGCATCTGTCTATCCCGAACAAACAGCAAGACTGTGGAGGATCTACAAACTGGAAGTCCTTGGGGAAACAGTTCATCTTATTCCCATTGTTGGAACATACAGAGTCAAAGGCTATGGGCAGGAAAAGTTCTAACTACACGGAGATCCGTGCTGTGGGTGGAAAAAATCCCCAGGTCCATCCGGGAACTCTCTCCACGAATCCCGACCACCCCGGGTCCTCCGCCCACCGCCCATCATTCCGGCCTCCCGGGCTCCCTCCCGCCCCCGCCGCGGCCTGAGCCGTCGCAGCAGCCCGCCCGAGGATACGGTTGATGTAGTTCTCCAAGGCAGACGTCATGCTGCTGGGCCCGGAGGTTCCGGGAATCTGAGAGGAATCGGTAACAAGCAGACAAAACACCGTCCGCCAGAAACCCGTCCAGGTTCGCGCCGGCTGGCGAACGCAAATATCGCGAGACTCTGAGGCCTCAGCGGTGACGAATCAGTAAGGATAAAGAGCCGGTCAAACAGGAAGCGGGCGGTGCTGGCTAGTGGGCATGCGCAGTGCGTTTCCGCTGAGCTTCCGGGTGGCGATGGAAGGGGCGATAAAGGCGGGGCAGGCAAAAGTTTGGCGTTGTCACAGAAGGTGGGCTGGACCGAGACACATTGGCTATAACGGACGGGAAGGCACTGTGGTAGTTACTAAAGGTAGCGTGGGAAGACACCTTCTGCCGGAAGACACACGGGATGAAGATGTTAACATTGGCTAGTGAAGGAGAGAGGCTCCGTTCTCATAGCCACGTAGATGTAGGGTGGGGTTAGCTCTAGATTTCTCCCGCATGAGCCAGAAAAGTTTTAAAAGCCAAGTAGCCCAGTACAAAGGGAGCATGTTATAGCTCCGTGATGTGCGTTTACAACTGTATAAACAATGTTTGTGTATAATGAATTTGGCTCTTCAAGTGTCCAAAACGACCTTTAAAAAAAACGAAACCCAAATTGCCGAGCGTGCATGAGCTTTCCTTAAGAAATAGACGGCCACCTTCCATCGGTTTCTCAAGACCTAGTTTTCCTCGGGTAAAATCCAATAAATAAAGCCTACAGTACCACTGTGAAAGAACTAATTGGAGAAAGGTGTAAGCTAAGCACCAGGCTTGACTAATTCTGTCCCTGATCATTGTTGTCGCTATTTTGTCACATGACGTCACCTCTTCTAGACCTGAGTTTACTTAGATCCTACCACAGCTCTATTATTTTTTCATGTCTTGGTAAACGTAGAATTAACACTCTCTCCCCCTTCCCCTTCCTTCCTCCCCCTCTCAACGTGTGTGTGTGGGGGCTGTGTACTCTATGCAAGTGTTCAAAAGCCCCCATATCAATGAGTTAGACCTCCAAGCCTCCCCAACTCCCTCCAGTTCTACAATGTTTAATGTATTTAGTGATACTTTCACTTCAAAACTGGATGTTAGGAGTCTCCACACCTAAGAATGGAATATTTCTTTTGTTGTTAGGAATCTGCAAATCTGCACACCTAATAATGGATTATTTCTTTTGTTGTGATGGACTTTAAAAGTAGACTGCATCCTAAAAAAATAAAAAATTGTCTCGTCACCCCAAAGCTTATTCTAACAGTTTGTGTGTTGTATTTTCTAATGGGGTGAGAAGAAGGGCTCACAATTTATGTGCTTCAAAAACGGGTGAGCTAAGATGTGTACAAGTATTGGAAAACTTTTTTTTCAAGATAAGATTTAACTTAGGACTTGAGGAACAAGTAAATACACTTCAGGGAAATGGACTGGAACTGAAGCTAATCTATCATGAGTCTCAGTCTGAGTTCCTGATTCCTTCCAGTCATAGAAAGGATAGAAAAAAAGAAGTGTGATTAGAAGATGAGAAAGGAAATGGGACATATGACAATTTATGGGTGGTATGGTAATAGCAGTTGATGACACAGAAGGGTAGAAACAGTAAGAAGAGATAGGACTGTTAATCTAACCAGTTCAACTATAGAAATGTGTTAATCAACAATATATAACCAATTGTTTTAAATTTTATTATTAGTGTATATCTACTGTGTGTGTGTGTGTGTGTGTGTGTGTGTGTGTGTGTGTGTGTGTTCATTCCTGTATGATTAGGCCGTGGTACAGGTCTGGAAGTCACAAGCCAACTTTCATAAGTCAGTACTCCCTTTTCACCTAAGGACCCCAGGAATCAAACTCAGTATCAGATTACACAGCACTTTTACCTGAGGGAACTGTGCTGGAGCCTGTTGGAACAGTCCTGGGTGGGGAGTGAGGACGATTATAGGAAAGGTAGGAAAAGCAGCAGAGACAAGAGGTAAATGTGGGAGGACTGCCAGTGAGTACTGCAGCAGCCTCGAGTTTATTATTCATAGCCATTTTAGATCCCACAGTTCCATGGGAAACAAAACCAACAAGCTAACAAACTGCTGAAATATACACAGGACATCTGTTCTCATCCAGAGGCCTCCCTGTTCCTTCCACCTAGGTCAACAGAATGTTCAGCCCCTCGACTTGAGCCTCAGGTGTACTTCCTCCTATCCATGCCTGTCCCATGCCTCAGCAGGCCAGGAAATCTGCCAGCAGACCCTAGCTTGCCTCAACTCTGCCTGGCAGGCTTCTCCCCTCCTCGGTAATGTGATTTAGACAAAAGAGTGCTTTATGAACAAGGATGCTTAGACAAGTACACCTCAGTCCTTTCCTCAGCCTCCTGGTTAAGATCATTACAAAGTGGGAGAGGCAGACTTAACATTCATCTCTTTCTGGTGCATCTTGTCAGTTTCTTCTTCAGAGTTATTTATTTGTTATACAAGAGTTGGCAAACTACAGTGCAGAGCCAGATTTTTTGGAAGACACATTTTGCTGCCACACAGCCACAACCACGAATATTTGTACTATCTGTAACTGCTTTAGGGCTTCAGGAGCATAGCTGAGTAGTTTCGAGAGGCAAAGTAAACATAAAATATGTAGTAACTGGCACTAGGCAGGGAATTTGAGTATCTCACTTCTGACTAACAAATGAAATTTCTCAAGCTTTTATGACTATTACTAAATCCATTGCTCTGATCTACCTCACTGCTGTAATGTTCCTTTTTAACCATTTGATACAGAATTCCCCCATTCTTTTGAACCTAAGGTCTTGTATCAAGTGTAAACAAAAACATCAAGCTAGACTTTAAAACAATGGCTGTGGTAATTCCTCTGTTATGAATTGAAACAAATTTTTTTGCAGACTTTTGAAACAAGTCTGCAATTAAGTAATTCCAATTAAAGACAGTTATTTGAAGATACTTTTACTCTTAGCTCATCTTGTGTTTCTCCAGAACTCTACAAGTTTGAATGGGAAAAAAGCTAAATGTATCAAGCATCCATTTGTTGTGGGTTTTCTGGCAATGAACATCTTAGGTTGTGCTTAAGACTACTCCAGACTTTTAGTTGAGTACTAGTATTGCAAAACCACAGGACCTACAAACAACGTACTCCACTTTGTATACCAATCTAGCAACAGTAAGTTCATAAAATGACTTTAGGCTACAGAGGAGAATCCATTCAAAAGTTCTTGATGCTATCAGAGTCACAACTTTGTTTTTGTCCTTGTAGATCTGTCTTTTCTCTAGGAGCTCTACTTGTTTTCATGCTACAGCGTTTGCTTTACCACTTAACATTAACAGGTCACACTGTCCCTACAGGTTTTGAAGCATCAACAGTACAAAGAAACTTCATTCATGGGAGTCCTTAACATACTGTTCTTGTTTCCTTGTCTGAGAAACAACCAATGCTCACTTCTGAGCCTGTCCCTTTGCTTAGGCCAAGAATCTCTATATAGAGTTTAACCTAGGAATAAGAGTCCATCTACACAAACCACATGACTGCTTTAAACAGGGGAATGTGTAAGTTTTTTAAAAAAAAATCAAACTCCTCTCAGTTGAAAATAAAAGGAAACACTCTGAAGAAACAACCATCTGCTATTCTCTAAGACATACTTGAAATTAATGCAATACAGATCTCTGCTGGCTAGTTTAATGTCACCTTGACACAAGCTAAAGTGATCTGAGGAGGTGGAAACCTCATTTAAGAAAGTAATTCGATAAAATGAAGCTACAGGCAAGGCTATAGAGCATTTTCCTAATTAGTTGTTGAGGCAGAAGAGCCCAGCTCATTGTGGGTGGTGCCACTCCTGGGCTGATGATCCTGAATTCTATAAGAAAGCAGTCTGGCCGAGTTATAGGAAGCAAGCCAGCTAGCAGCATTCCATGGCCTCTGCATCACCTCCTGCTTCCAGGTTCCTGCCCTGCTTGAGTTCCTGCCCTGACAGCTTTGAATGGAACTGTGAGTGAAATAAACCCTTTCCTTCTCACTTTGCTTTTTTTTTTGGTCATGGTGTTTTATCACAACAATAGTAACCCTAATTAGGACAGACTTGTTACTAGGATAGTGGGGGTATTGCTGTGACAGAACTTGCTTTGGAGGGGTGCGGGGAGTATGTGTGTGGGTCTTTGAAACTTTGGGTTAGGAAAAGTTAGTGAGTGTTGAGAACTCAGTGAGCTGTTTTTGTAGGAGCTTGGAAGATTAAAATGTTATATTCCAAGAACAGTGCAGAAGATAGAGGCCTGGCTTGTCAAGTTTCAGAGGGAAGCAACGACTGTATTGGGTCTTTTGTCTGGTCAGTTGAAGCTGAAAAATCAGCTGTAATTAACAACCAGATTCATTGAGTGAAGTGTTGCCTCGGGGTCAGTACACAGAAGTGTTCCAGAAGCAGCTAACGTTATGCCTCATGCTGACAGCCAACCTTGGTACTGGTTTTGAAGGCATGAAGGGGTCATGGAGCACAGTGGTGGCTTGGCACTGTTTGGCATGGTTGAGGTCCCTAAAGAAAGCCCAAGAGAAGCTATAGGTGAAAGTGCAACCCAGTGATAGCAAGAGACTCCAGTAATTTGAAGATGCCGGTACCATGAGATGACCACCAAGAACAACAGCAGTGTAGTGGAACCAGTCAAGCCTAGAAGACAATCCATGTGTGCTTCAGAGGACAGAACCACAGAAACAGCCCAAGCCGCTAGAAGGATCCCAGAAGATTATGAGTGAATGCCAGATAACTGGGTATTGACTTATTTATACTTTGGGAGTTTGGTTTTCCTTTGCTCAGACTGTGACTATGCCCTGATTTTTCCTTTTGAAATAAGAAAATATTTTTTACTTTACAGGCACTCACAGTGAAGAGACTTTGGATTTTAATAGATACTTTGTATTTTTTTAAAGAAACTTAATTTTTTAATTATTTTTGTTTTTTTTATGTACATTGGTGTTTTGGATGCATGTATAACTGTATGAGGCTGTTGAATCCCCTAGAACAGAAGTTACAGACAGTTGTGAACTGCCATGTGGGTACTGGGAATTGAACCCAGGTCTTCTAGAAGAGCAGCCAGTGCTCATAACCTAACCGCTGAGTCATCTCTCTAGCCCAAGAGATTTAACTTCTGA